ACCGTACATTTCGAGGAGCATGTTGAATTCGCACAGCTCGATCACCTAACGAAGGAAACCCTTTGGGAATGTCTCGTACAAATCATAATGGCAGTAAGGGAGGAGCCGTCATCTATTTGAACCATACGAAAATGTTGACCGCTCGTTCGCTTTGTTTGAAGGTCCTACATGAATTCTACCCTCATCTAGGATAAAGGTCTTTTTTGGTAAGCGTGTACAAAGCCTTGAGGTGGTACACAGTTCATAAAGAATGGTTTATGTTTTTTATTTTCATTTGGATTTGGTAATACACGTAAATTTCGTGGGGACAGAGGGTCTGTAGGGGGAGGCTGGTCGGGGAGGAGAAAATATTTGATATTCAATATCCTAGGCCCCTTCTCTCGTTCGATGTTTTTTCCGGGAAATTGTTTTCAAGGAGTACAAAATGAATATTTCAAGGAGTATTTCAAGGAGTACAAAATGAATAAAAGTCAGTTCGCAGTGCTTAACTTCATAGAAATCATGTTCAGTAGAGGTAACTGTTCATCGTAATGCTTCCTCCCTGCATGGGAAAAAGGCATTCACAAATACTTCGAGTAAAAATCTGCAAATGAATACCAACCTTGTGAGTTGTAGCTGTTCTTAGTCGATCCAAAGAGAGTTCGGGGTTCCGCATAAGCATCACTTCGATCTCCTTCATAACCTAATATACATACAATAAATTTCATTTCATGTATATTGTATACTGATTGATATCTTTCAGTGACTTCCATTTGTCAGTATCTTATTGTTTTTGTCAGCTTTTTGTGTCTAAAAAAGGACCTTTCTACGACTTCCGAGTTTACGCCTTCGATTAAATGGCACCTTCATTTATTCTCCCTCATGTACGCCAGGCACCTGTCTTCCGTTCTGAATTGTGGGTGCTTAGATAGGGATTCAACTCACGAGTCGTTATGCATGGCAGTGATTCATTCTTTGAAGAAATGAAGGTGCCATTTAGTCAAAGCCGTAAACATGGGAACTCTGTCATCTCGTGAGAGAAACAACCCAAACAGACTTTCTGACCCTCTGTGATGAACTTGTTAGCTCATCTATTTGGTAGGCCAGAAGTAGCGGTCTGTACGTTGGCTAGAAAAAGCGCCTAGTTGGTTTTCAAGAGTTGAAAATTAGAGTAACTCATCTGAAAAGATCAATCAGTGCTCGGGGATCATTCCATGCTTTGTCGTGGACGTCTCAGAATTTATTCAGTCCGAACCCCGAATGGGCTTATTAATATACCTGAGCTCGGCAGATCTGGCGATTTTCCTGGCTTGTGCTCGATTTGAATGTGAATTGACCGTCATCGATGTTTAGCGGTGTGAGGAGCTCAGGTCTGAATAGTTAGTTAGCGCTTATTCATAACGTCCAGGCAATTTCTATCTGCCAACCTCATAACCTACATGGTTTCTTCGCTGACTTCAGGTTGTCTCGTCTTTTGAATAAGCGCGAACAGCCTCTTGTATTCGATGAACTCTCCTCTGGGTGCCATGGAATTCAAGAGCAATCGCCAGGGTGAGTCCGATGAATGGACCTTAATCATGGCAGTTGAGAACATCAAAAATCATTTTTTGAATGAAGAACACGGTAAAAACTAGCAACGTCATCGAGTTGATGAAGATAAATTTGGAACAAACTCACGCTGGTGACTACTTCTCCAATACATTTAATCATGGATGGGGCACTCAGGTAGCCTCTTTGCTCACGGTCGTACAGCCTGAAATAGAAATCCTTTATTGAGTATATTTTTTGGGGATCCGCAAGCTAATTGTGGGTGGAATGATCGCAGTACGAGGGTCAGCACAATGGAAATCTTGATGAGAAAGGAGGACCTACATGCATGCGTCCAAAATACTTTGCACTCGTCTGTTGCTGAGGTTGTCGATGGCAGTTTGTAGACCAGGAATGACTGAAAAGCGAACATCAATCTAATAACGAAATACATAGGCATAGCTTTGTATTTGACGAAGTCTCCAACTTGGAATTCTTTCCTGTCACTACCGTTGCAGTCTGCTTTCACTAAATCACTCTATCATACTATAAATTTCTTTACATCATCACACAGTGTGTAAAGAGTCCCTTACTCAGTTCCTCCTCTGCCCAACCTGGGTTTCTCCGCCCATCCTTGGTAGCTCCGCCCACCGCGCAATTTCTTCCCCAGTTTCTTAATTGCCTAATTCAGTCATTATTCCACTTAGTCAACTAATAAATCGGAGTGAAGCTATCCTATAGTTTGACCCGTCATGCCCATGCACTGTGGCCTGTTAGTTAGAGACGTTGTACCACGCTCATACATCGTAGAGATGAATCTCAGTCGTGCTCAAACCGCGTTTATCCATATTCTTCTTTGATGTTGGGCATGAGAACTGAATGAAGTCACTCGGGTAACTTTTTCTTGTGAAAGGCTCAGGGGCAAACAGTTTTCTGGTAGCATAAAACCAGGGCAAAGTTTTGATGGCGATGCGACAAAAGGTAACAAGAAAGGTCCAAAAATTTCACTAATTGGTCTTTCACTCCGTATGGATATGTGGTTTGACTATAGTCAGCGTGGGTTCAAATAATAAATGACCTGTGTTTTTACCTATTTGAAGAAGTTTGAAAACAGTCCTTCGAAAATGGGGCTTCAACAGAGTTTTCTATTTATAGTGCGGGTGATAGGTAATGTGTCCTGTCTCTGTGCCATCATGTAGGTTTCTTATGGGTCTAGAGCATGATCAGGGAGTAAGAGAAATTTTGAAAAGAGAGTTGTATATACAGTAGATGAGCAGTGATGAAAAAACGTTGAAGCCTGTAGTTGATTTGGGAAGATGTGCGAGTTGCGAAGGTCGCTTTTGAATGCCTGCATCCTAACGTTTCAGAAAATCAGTAATTGAGAGAGGCCGGGCGACAGGATAGTGAATAAACTGAATTCTTTGTAGTTTGTTACTAGCACATGATTTACAGTAAAGCATATATTGTCGTGATTTCTCTCTCATATTTCAACATCTAAATAGAAGCTAAATGCAGGGGCGAATTACGGAAAGGGATCGAATAAAGCTTCAAATATTCATCCCTCATCCTTTCATCAAACACTATGTGTCGTTTCTTTCTGAAAAATATCTTCTCAATCTTAATCTTAGCTGATTCATTGCTTGGGAGCCCAAAAAACGAGCAGGTGATTTTCTTGATTTTATGTGCCAAGTTGTAGTTGTACTTGGTATAGACGTAGGCGTTTTGAAATTATGTTGAATAATTTAACAAAAAAAAAACTCGAAAGTAATTGGAATTGTTTTTTTTTTGTTTCGTGGTAAGAGTACGGTATCTTTCTTCTTAAAACTTATTAAATCTTACTGTTTTTATGGACCCTAGAAGACAATGAATTCTAAATAGAGTGGCCAATGAGAAAATTTATCAAGGTGAGTAACAAAAAGTAACTTAACGAAATCGAAAGGTTGTTATTGCATTTCCGGAAAAGAATCGGTTCATGTTCAAGGTCTATATTTTTAAAATTTTTATATATAAAATAAAAACAAAAAAAGCTAGAAAACTAGCAAAAACTGCGCTGCGCAAAATTTCACTATTTCATCCCTTTCAAGTGGCTTGTATTGTTTTTGTTGTTTACATTTATTCTAACTATTGAATTGAGAAAGGAAAAGGTAACTTTTTCGAGGGGCTTTCTGGAAATTTTCTATCTCTGGCTTGTTTGTATTCCTCGATTTACACTCACATGTTATTCTTTCGGAGCTAGATTTCAATGAATTAAGTGAATTTTTATAAGAATGTGAATGCAATGGCATGGAAGCATGTCTGAACGCTCGGAATTTGATCAGCTTGCTTCGGTTCTTTTTTGAAGGGCAAAGCTTTGAATTAGCTTCATTCAATTCTGTTTCTGGAAATGCCCAGCAATCGACTCCCTTTTGAAGTTGAGTTATCGTCCTACAGCGCATACTGTACAGTGACTTCTGTTGTTCAGCCTAATTTTGAGTCAGTGTTTCATCCTTCAAGCTAACAGCAGAACCGACTGACCTATGTTGAAGGTATGAAGCCTCCATTGGCTTGGAGGGCATGTTTGTTGGATTTTATTGACGGGGCATATGATGTAAAGGAGGGCGGAGGTGGTGTAGGGGCAAGTGGCGCACTATATCGCACGCACGGTCAGGGGTTCGAATCCCGGATCGATGCCCGCCTAGGGCAACCAAGCCCTCCATCCCTCCGGGGTCGGTGAATTGGGCAAGTCATTGTATAGGCCACATACGCACTCATTACGCCACTACGCTTCTGAATGGAAGTCGAGTGCGGGGGCGCATCCCTCAGACGGGATTGATTAACGCCAAAAAATTTATCCTTATTTTATGATGTAAAGTATTGATGTCTCCTTGCACTATCCAAACCTCGGCCTTACAAATAAGTAATAAAAAATTGGAATCTATGCTTGACTATTTCTTAGTGGATTTTATGTTGCCATGGTGAAAATTGTATTTAATACTAGTAATTTGTCAATAACTGGGACCTAACCTTGTTTAATTGCAAAATAATCCACAGAATTATCAATCATTAAATATCGGTAAGGGAATAGTTAGAGGGGTTTTGCTGAGTCTTTAGCTGTCTGCTCCCAGTAATGTAGGATTCCCTAAATGCCAGGCACCGATGGTCATTCCAATTTTTACTTCCCAGTACCGCCTGATCAATGCTATCATCTCCCGATGACCAGATGAGATTGAATTTACTTCAGAGCTACACCTAAATTCAGAGTAATTTGAAAGGATTGGTAAGCTGACCTGGAAGAGTTGCCGGAATCGGAGCAAGTGTGAGATCCAATACAGAAATAGCATCGTCGGATGGCAATGTTAATGATGGCTCTGCTCTTCGAATAACGAATGTTCGATCCAACTCGGTTGTGAGCGCGTTTATCGAGGCACGTCTCCCAGCATCGGCGTTAGAGGTCGATTCAGTAGAGCTGAGCAGTTCATGGTTGGGAATATGCGAATAATCAAACTGTAGGATCTGATCAGGGCGATGTTGCTTAGTAGCACTTGAGCGTTTCATTTGAGGAGTGAAGGAGGGTTGTACTAGGTGGCCACTAGAACCCATATCTGAGCTCGATTCTCGTGGATGAGCACTTGAACTTTGACCGAAAACCGTGTCCGTGTTAGGGAACGGTTGCCCGATTTTCGGAAGCACCGGTAATGTCACCGTGGTCGGCAGTTTTCTCTCCGTCTGTGCGGTGATAATTCGTCTGATATCCTCAGGCAGCTCATCACTCATAGAGTTGCATTGGAATGGAAAAGGAATAGCCGACGGCTCAGTAGCCGAAACACATCGGAGGTAGTTTGCGATTAGATTTGATAGGTGTGGGAAAGCAGGAGCCATGGCAACAACCCGCAACGCCTTCACTATACCACCCCTATCACGTCATCGAGTCACGGGTAACGTTAGCGTGGACTTCAAATCGGCAGGAGACTGAAAAACGAAGTTCGCTTAACAACCTAAGACTAGTTCTGAGAGGTATATATCCAAATAATTAGGTCACACACCTACTATCAAGCGTACATTCTGAAGATGTGAAGTTCGTTCAACGGAGGAAACTGCAATATTTGACGAACAGCGATTTCTGTGGCACAGAAAGGGTGCTTACTGGCTAGACGAGGAAGTCAGTTTCGTGCAATTGAGTAATGATCGGCTGAAGTAAGCAACAGAATGTCAAGAATTGTCTTCTGGCGTGAGTTGGGTGTACATACGCTGAAAATTTGAGACTTCCATGGTGTTGTTCTCTGCCCTATCTGTTCTATTTCCTTGCCATTAGTTTATTCCTTTTCTTGTTTTTGTTTTCTCTCATATTCGGCCGTTTAAATTTTCAACGTACTTGTTTCAATGTGAAGGTGCAGCTTCTTCGAGGCCGTTCCGTGACTTCCTGCGCCACTTCTGGGGAGGCATATACTGGAAGAAAAAATCTCAGCATTTTCATCGCACGCTATCCAGAATGTTACTCGATCTGACAGAACCATTCGGCTTACTAGAGGGCTACAAATTCATCCTGGGGAATTTCAGATACCATTCTTATGGTGATCTTGAAGGATTTTTCTTTTATGTTGCATGATCGCGGAGTCTCTGTTTTCCGCAGTAACAGTAATAAATTCATATACTTACTCCGAAAAACGGTGCACTTCCAAGCGCAGAGTTCTTCATGCTAGCGCTTTACTTTATACAATGTACCTGTAATTGCTTCTGGCAATTAGTACAGGGAAGTACATATTTAGTAAATACGCGAAGTAAGTTAGTAACGAGTACGAAAACTGGAAGTGTACAATTTCTGCGAAAGAATATATTATAATTTTCCCAGATCTCAATGAGGCAAAGATTTATTCCTTTTAATCAGTAAATTAGGTGGCCATACATTATAAGTACGTCAATCCATCCACTCAAGCCCGCTTGTTCATGGTTGGCTGGCTATTTTAAACATGTGGCTGTATTATAACTATAACATCATTTTACCGACTTGTAGTAGGGGTTTACAGCGACTTAGATAACTGCTTTTGATCAAAACGCCATGACGACAGGTATGGAGAATGTCCGTTGCGCGTGTCCGTCGAAAGTAGGTCACCCCGTCCACTTCGCGCGCGGCGCATCACAC